ACACACGCAGTCACACACACACACACACATGAATTAATTAAAATTCAATTCGAATCGTGCACGCACGTGTTACGCCCACACGCTCAATCATAATTTTAATTTTGCCCCAAATTAAATTACACGCCTACACCAGGCCCATGCCAAGCCCCACGCACCGGACGGGAAGAGTCAGAACGAAACAAAGGCGCCCGTAATTGGTAATGTGCTCTGTGCACTCGAAATACTTTGCTACTAATTGCAAATTGCAAATCGGATTAACATTAACATCTCATGCACCGGAGCCCAAATCTCGCAATTATGTGCGCATTCTCGAACGATTCAACAGTTTTGCTTACTAATTTGCCAACTCGATTCGGCTGTCAGTCTGCGCTGCGGCTGACAACTGAAGCGCATTTGGCAACTCTGACTCGGGCCAGGCCCACTCACGTTGTCCCGGCCTAGCTCGGTCAGCTGGCATTTCATTAACACTTGGCACACACTCATCAAATATTTGCAGACGTTTGCAGTTAATGCAAATAACTGAATTAATTATTGAATTTTTGATAATTCTCGCATGAATGGCATCAATGCACGACTCACTTATACCCTGTCCTCTGATTTTACGGCATCCTTTTTTATTGTTATGGTAAGCATGGCATGTATTTACGTTAATTATATGATTAATTTGCCTTCGATTATCGTTAGCTATGTGCATTCCATAACTTCTTCATGGCTGCCGGTTGGACTAATTAAATTCCATTTACCCATTTATATGTGCGTGAAACCACACAGAAAATTCAATTAAATTGAAATTAATCATCGGGTCAAAAAGTAACATTTTCTCAAAATAAAAATATGTACATAAATCCAATAATGAATTCATAATTAATTTGTTGACTTCAGGCTAAGGAGAGAAATGTTTTGAGTAGGAAAAGAAGTTGGGAAAAATAAAGCTATTTACGATAATGATAATAAAAGAATATGAAGCAATCAAGTAATTAAAGCCAAGTGAATGTTTAATACCTATGTAAAATATTGATGTATAAAGTAAATATGCATATATTGAAAACTTTATCTAAATGGAATATTTCCGAACTAATTGGAATATGAAGCAATCAAGTGGACATAATTGAAGTCAAGTTATTATGCATATTTATATAAGCTTGCAATCTCTACTCTCTCAATACGCAGAGCCGGCTATTCGGCAATGAGGCTCAGCCTTTTATTTACTAAAATGTATTGTAAATTCAGTAAATCAAATAAAAACCTTCGCACCACATAAAAAGTGTTGGCAAATATGTGCAAATTGTCAACAGTTTGTTATGGCCACAGCTCAAACAAATGAATGCGAAATGCTGGCCCAGCTAAACAAAAATACCATTTGCAAATAGACAGAGTACCGTAAACAGCTACTGTCAGCCGGATCATGGCTAACGAGCTGCCAGCTAACAATCTGTTTCTTGAAAATATGAAATACAAATTTCAGTACTGGCCATGCCCATTCTCAAGGCCATCCAGAGAGCCATTTATTTGCGATGTTAGGCGGCATTTTGTGATTTGCCATCAATTTTACACAATTTTATGACTTGGATCTGTGAGCTGAGCATTGATTTAATTTTGTAACGAACTTGTAGCAACAAGGACGACAACGACAACGACAACGACAATGACTTCACCTTGTTGACCCATGTCCAAAGTTTCAGTTCTCAGTCCCTGTTGCTGCTGCCTGTCCGTGTGGCAAGACAACGACTTGTTGTTGCTTGTCTGCGTGCAGCATGATGCTGCTGCTGCCTGCTACTGGACTATCTCAGTTGGGCCTGGGGCGTCTGCCGCTAACCACTGTCTGTCCTTCGCTCTTTGAGTCTGCCTGGGTAATTTCATTATGAGTTTTATGACTTTTAATTAATTTTCGAAAGTGCACAATTTTACATCAGACTGCAGTTTATTTGCTCTCTTTCTCTCTCTCACACTTTTTATTTGTTTGGCTAGCCAACAGAGTCCAGCTGTCCAGGCCGGAAGTGTGCCATAATTTCCGCATAAAACTTGACGTTGGCCAATTCATCTGCAATTCGAATGGAAAGTAGCCAACTCGGCTTGCCTGTGTAACGAGTGTCAACAACATTCAATTAATTTTCCTTACATTTTGGCCAACTTTTTCAGTTTTCATTATTCAACTACCAAAATGCGCATCGGGTCTACCTAGAGAGAGGGAGAGTGTGTGAGAGAGAGAGAGAGAGAAAACGAAATAAAGCTTTTGTTAGTTTAAAATAAGATTGCAACTGAACTTACAGCTATGATAAAGTATCAACATAAATCACCAACAGAGTTAGCTGGAGTTGGCATTCCATGTAATATTGATTTACTCTCGTTATATCAAAACAACACCTACCTGCAAAATTGACGACATTCGGGTCTTAAAGTTAGAAAAAAGACAAATTAGTATTTTATTTCTGATTTGCATAATCTAATGCGAGATACTAACATCAAAAACTCTTTTCTTTTATCCCTCAACTAAAATTAATTTTTTTGTAAATATGAATGTTACTCAGATAACTTTCAAGTGCATGTAGTTTGTCTGTTGAATTCACATATCCATCATAATTCATGGAGTCAAGTAATCTATACCCATTTTGAATATTTTGTATAACTTACAATAAAAAGAAGTAAGCTAATCGCCTGTTAAATAATATTGGGATATGCTGATTATAAAATTTAATTATTATTTAATTTATTATTTGCGCTTTTGATGCATTTTTCTTTTTCAAATGAGATATAATTTTAATTGTTTTTTTATTTGTTTTATTTTTTAATTTATTTATTTATTTATTTATTTATTTATTTATTTATTTTTTTGTTATAAGGTTTTGATGTTCAAGATTGTCCTCACAGTGTAAGATCAAGTTCTACTAAGCCAAAGGCTCCTGAAATGGCTTTACAGTGTGTAACTCAAAATAAAGAAATATGACAAAAACTAAAAATGCAAAAAAAAAATAAAAATTAAAAATTAATTATATAATAAATAGAAGAAAATAAAATGAACAACTAAACAAAAAAATGTATAAAAAAAAATAAATAAAATAAAATCCACTTTTATTTTTGAACGTTTCTATCACATTCAATTGAAGTAGGCATTTGTGTAAACCATAAATTTTCGATTTTTATCCTTGTTGGCATCACAAATTGTTCAGTCGTTGACCAAAGACATACTCACACACACAGACGTACTCAGGGTACAGCACTATTGGAATCTAATTTATTTATTGTGCAATTAGCTTGGGACAGTAAACGGCTTCAAGATGTCTGCAGAAGTGGAGGAGATGCTGAAGCGTTTTCAGAACATTAAGAACATCATTGGCATTGTTGTTGCCGACTACGATGGCATTCCCATCAAGACCACATTGGAGAACGTGCAATCGGTTCATTTGGCATGCCACATGCATTTGCTAACGGAGAAGGCGCGTCAGGTGATACTGGATCTGGATGCCACCAATGAATTCGTATCTATGCGCATGCGCACCAGCTACTTTGAGATCATGCTGATGCCCTCCGATAACTATTTCATAGTAGTCCTTCAAAATCCTAGCGATTAGAAGATGGTTTATTCGTTGTAAATTGTTCATGTTTTAACTTGTTGATATTAAAGATATTTATCTGTGCAAGTGGAGTGTTTTAGATGAGGGAGAGAGAGGCACAGAGAGAGAGAGAGAGTGAAAGAGTTTTCTACACAACTGTGGGCTTAATTATGGAAACAGCTATCGCTCACTCTCTCTGCATTATGACTGCTCATCAACTATCAATGAGCTCAAAATTTTCTTTTAATTAACTCTGCTTCAATCAGGCCATTCGACTCCTGCTGTCGTTGCCTGTACTATAAATAACGACTCTTTTGCAGCCACAACGGCATAAATAAACTTTTTGCAACTGTACTGAGTTCATCCAAAGCTGTCAAGTATTTTCAGCTATTATTCATTTGCATTAATTCGTGTACATGTGAAATGCATTATGCATAGCTCGACTTATAAAGAGTTTGGCTACCCTCATATATATACAGATGTATGTATGTCTAGACACCCGAGAGCCGAGCTAAATGAAATCATATGCGAAGGAGGCTAAAAGCTATTCTGTTTCGACTGAGTCGAGGGGAATTCATATCCGGTGGGTTAAAAAATGTATTTTTATTGAGACAGAGTTAGATTTACTATTGATTGCTTAAAAATAAGCAAATTTATATAGAGCGCTTGAATGCTTTTTAAAACCATTTTGATGGTAACAGACTTAATCAAAATTTATGTATTAAATATTTAAAGCTAATAAATTTTTCTTTCTTAGCATTTTTTTTTTTATAGAGATATTATGAAATTTATTTATTAATAGCTTAGCGCCCCGCTACCTATTTGATAACTTATTCTAAATAGAAAAGTACATTAATTTATCTACTCAAAAGCTATATTAATATTAATATTATATTTGAAGATATTTATGAGTATTTATATACTTTTAGTGATTGTTAAAAAATATTTTTGTCTGTATATTCATTCTTTTTTTTTAACCTTAGTTAAGCAGAATGTTTTCGTATGGATAATAACATAAATAAATAGCAACAGTATAAATAGAAAATTTTGAAGAGACAATAGAGATTATTTGATAAAATTGTTAAGTGTAATAGAATTAAATTTAATCTAGAATGCAGTTTTTATAAAAATCAACAAACATTTAGAATAATTTGACTTTGCTTTAACTGGAAGACCTTTTACCCTCAGAAATAAAATATTATACAATGTATTCTAAATAATATAAGAAACTTATTTATTTTACCAATCTGAGGACTGCCCAAAATTTTACAAATAAAATCAAATACAATTGGTCAACTTAAATTTGTCTTTTTTTATTGAATTTTATTTTGCTGTTGCTCTTGTTTGGTCAGCTCATTTACCCTTACCCCTACTTGAATACCTATAATTAATACACCTGCGCTGCTGTGACCGAATTGTGCGATAAACTTCAATTTTTGCCAGTTCGGCTCATTTGTATTTCCTGGCTATTGCATGTGTGTGGAATGAGTTAATACATTGAATAATGCCAAGGCCTATTTGAATGATGTAAGTGCATGAACGAATTCCACATAGTTGACCAAGCCCTGATCGTTGACGTGACCGACCAAGAGCTCGTTCATCTCCTCCTTGGACAGGCGCTCGCCACAGGTGGTCAGGACTCGTGCAAGCCTGGCCGCTGATATGAAGCCAGTATTGTGCTCATCGAAGAATCGCAGGCCCAATATGAGCTGTTCGGCCATCGTGCCTGGCCCGCTCTCCTTGGCTGCCTTCCGAGCCGATGAGACGATGCTCGCATAGATCGACAGGACCTCGTCGTAGGGCACGCGCTCAATATGGCCAGCACGCAGCTGCCGGACGTGCTGTTGTACGCACCTCTCGCTGGGATTGGCGCCCAGCACTCGCAGGCAGTCGCCCAGCTGCGACAGCTCAATCTTGCCATCGTCGCACTGGTCGAACTGCTGGAGCAGTTGTCGCATACGCTGGACCTCAGCTGGTGACTCCTTGTTGGCCATCTTGTTGATGAACTGGTTCGTTTGCCCCTTGGATGACGTTGCTTGGCGTTGCTGCGACTGGGATCGTTTAGGCGTGCAACTCTTGGATACGCATCTTCTGCTCAGTTGCTGGCAACTGTACAGACTAACTGGAATCCACTTTTGTGATTGGGCAAAACAAATTTACAAACAATTTTGACATGATGACAGCTAAACGAACCGACTGACAGTAAACATATTCATGTAATTCACAT